AATAAAGAAATTCAGCCAGTATGTTAATGTGTACAGGGGAATTTTCTGTAACAAGAATTTATGCTTATCATACAAATTTAATATAGCAATTGTCACTATCTAATTCAAATTACAAAAAAAAATACATAATTATCTGTTAATAATATAAAACCATCAATGAAGCCATTTGTTGGTATATTAAAATTTGAGCTTTCGATGATAAAGTTCACAACATGAAAATATTTGCTGATTCTGTTAGTAACAATGCACTGTTAACGCAGGCGAGCTTTTATTATTTAAAGCTTGAGAACTATGCTTAACGGCAGCTTTGTGTTAACCCATTTTCAGCCATAGGTGTGTATAGTAACAAATAGTCAGTAATAATTTTTATTGGAACCTGCAAATTTTTACTGGAAAAGTATATAATAACACAAAAAATTTTCAAGAGACACTGAAGTGAAATTTTTACCAGCAGAAGGAGAACAAGAATAAATGTCAAAAGCCGCCATTGGTTCATAAACAAATGTAAAATGGGTGGAAATCAAAATATTAACCCTTTCCGGTCAAATCCATCCCTGACGAATGTAAAAATTTTTCCTCTTAATTACAAGGTTCACTGAGCCTCATAAACCCTACCCTTTACTGCAACAACAGCATGCAAGCTCTTCAAAACCACTGCAAAACCCACCCTAATTACCTTTTCAACTGTAACCTTTGCGGACATTTGTACAATATAATGTACAAGACACTTACATCCTTTCAGTATAAATGTATAATATATTGTACCGGAAAAATAATTAACACCATAGTAGTTTAATTTTAGCATTTTTTTATGATATGTCCTTGTTATGTGCTTTTCGTAGTAATTTTACTAGACTTTCACGTACTTTTTGTACAGTAAATTACCACCACTTGCGTGTTACTGGAATTTTATAAAATGGTATATTTTTTAATTAAATTTTGAAACGTTTTCGATTTTGAAATTTAAGTAAACTATTCGGAATAGTCCAAAACTTCATAAAGTTTAATTTGTTTACAAAAATATTAAAAAGATTTTTAGTAGCATGTTTCCAATGTTACAAAGAATTAAATGTATGATATATTGTTCAAATGCACGGAAAGGGTTAATGATGTCCTGGTCTATGTAAGTGCTTGTGTGTTAAGCAAAGAGTTTAAAACTGATTTATAAATAGTAAAATGTTTACAGCAGAGGATCAAAGCAATGCAACAACTGTTCACTTCCAAGTTTTTGCTAGTTTTCTGTTCTTCTGAATTGTACGCTCTGTTTTGCGTTTACGCTCTCGCTCCTATTCTTTACTGGAGAAGTTACTATACACTCCTAGTCTGCTTTGATATATTATGTATATGTAAATAAAATGTCAGTGTGAAATTAAAAAAAAAAGCTTTATTTTTGCAATAGATGGCTTTAAAATTTTGTTAATATTTTTTTTAAATTATCCATTTATAAACCAAAACCCCAAAAATTAGTTTCAAACTTCATACAAAATTGAAAAAAAATTTCAAAAAATGTTCAACACAATTTCGAATTTTTCAACCTGATTTTTTTTAGAAAACTTTTGGGTATGCGCTTTTAATAAATTTTAGTTCAACGAAGTGCATGTTTTAATAAGCTAAGAATTCGCTTTGATTTTTAATAATTTTTTTACCACCGGCTTTTTGCGGTTTTTTTCATCTTCTAACCAGTGCAATTTTCAAAAAATGGTGTTGATTTTATGAAGTTTTTTGCAAACGATCTTGCGCATTTCATTCCATAAGAAAGTCATGTTTATCTGGAAAAAAATGCAAAAATTGTTTAGGCTATAAAACTGCATACTCAAAAGTTTTATAAAAAAAATTCAGAATACAAAATTCGATATTATAATGAAATTTTTTTAAATTTTTCTTATAAGTTTTGCTTAAAGTTTAACACCCAAATTCCTAAAAATATAGAAGACTTTAAATGCTTTATAAATCGAAAATTTTTAAGAAAATTCCACTTTAATAAGCTTTTTATATCTCTTATTTTTCATGAATAAGGAAGTAAATAAACACAAAAATTTAAACGTATTGTAAATATTCAAAAAAAAAAATCGCGATGTGGACACTTGTTTGAGTCACTGTATATTACTAAAGCCATATATTGCGAATATAAATGATTTGTTTTTACGTACTAAAATTTGATAAAAAGCACATGAAAAATTAGAAATTTTGATGGAAACTGATTCAATTTTTCCAAAATTTGTATAAAGTTCGAAGAGTTGATTTATTTGGTTTTGGTTAAAGCAGGAACAATATTTTTACAAAAGTATAACACACAAATTTTAACTCGAAAAGCGTTATGGGTATTTCACCTTCCGTTACTAACATTTCAACACGGTTACTAACCTAGCACAGTGGTTCAAATTTGGCATTTTGTGGTCACAACTCACTGGAGCCTTAATTTTTCACTCAATTTGATTAATAAAATGATTTTTGAGTGGAAGTTAATAAAATCTTCAAGAGATTAGTTGAGCCCGATATTTGAATTTTTGTTTGTTTGTGTTAAATTTTTTATTGCAAAATGCAGAAAAGTAGCCGTAATGAGGAAACCCTATTCTCAACAATTGTATGGTTCTCCCAAAACGAAAAAAAAATTAAAAAAAAATTTTAATGTTACAAAAAATTTGATAAAATTTAGTAAAAAATTAAGGCTCTAGTGAATTGGGAACACTAAATTTCCGTTTTCAAACACTGTCCATCGGTTCCTCAGACAGGGGTGCGGATAATGTTAATTTCTTCACATTATCTAAATACATGTGTTTGGATTGCATAATTAATTCTTTTTAGTTATTGTAATCAATAGTACAATAAATATAACAAAACCAAATAACAAAATTTCATTAAATATTACACACTTAAATAACACGTTAAAAAAAAAATCAAGTAAAATAATTAAGTAATTTTTAAATATTCAATAAATTTTAATTTTAATTTTTTGCATAACAGAACATAAGAAAAATATTTGGTCTTCATTCACGACATGAAATACAATCACTGAAAAAGTAATAAATACAAGTAATTTTTAGCAAAAAAAAAACCGACTTCAACTCCCATATAAAAAAAAAATATATATATATATATCTCATGATCCACTGATCGCATCTCAACCAGATTAGTATGGGACCACCTCTGAGACACTACCTTTCCGATGCAAAATCGGTTGACGTGGTCCAAAGTTATGCGGTAACATACATAAAAAAAATAAAAAAAAACGATATTTCCACAAAACTGATAACCTCCTCCTTTTTTGGAAGTCGGTTAAAAACAAAGAGAAAAGATAATAGCGATCAATCTAGTACACCGGCACCAAACAAGATCGCTGATCAACCGAAAGGTATAAAAACAAAAAAAAAATTTAAAAAGCGCAACTCTGTTGTACAGAAAGCTTTAAGAATGTGTTCGGTCTGTGAGACCGCATGTTAGTAACGGAAGGTTAAGGAAATCTTTCCAAATCCAAATGTAATTATCTCGAAATGAAACTATTATTCTGGAGCCATTCCAGGTTCTAAGATGTATTAACTTGTTTCAGGACAATTTATCCAGATACTGACAGATACTGTCCTGGCGCTGCCAACGTAATCATACTAGCGAAAACCTAACCAGCACCTGAAGTGGTTACGCAAGTCTAGATATTGAAGGTCAACCGTTATTAACCCTTCGATTTGTGAGAAGGTCCCTAGGGACCTTTTCGTATTTCATGTGCCTATATCTTTTTGTTCAATGCATTTTTGAAAAGAATTTATACATGTATTCCAAGAATAAATTAAGCTGAATCGTTTAAAATAAGTTTCGAAGGGATACGGGATCACGTTCGAGTGTTATTGAGATTTCAACATATATAGTACGGGGATTAGTGACAAGGTCCCTAGGGACCTTGTACAATTTTAGAAGAAATAACAAGTTACTTGTCTTCATGTTTTGGTTTTTTTTTTCACTTGTTCTTCAAATTATTTCATTCCTAATATATATGCAGGACGTTAATTTAATCAAAAGACAACATAAATACCAAAGAAGTTGCACATGTACAGTCGAAACATCGAGCAACTCTTTGTAGGTCCCTAAGGACCTTCTCACGAATCTAACGTCATCGGCACTGTCACTCATCGGAGGGTTAAAAAAATGTGTTCACCGCCAGGCTGGTATGCTGGGGCTTGTCCAGATTCTATTGGGTGATAACATTGTTAGGAAAATCTATGCCCGGACCTGTATTGGCACTGTCGAGAAAATCTTAATTACGGTAATCTAGCCAGGCTCTACACGGAATGAGGGCTTTGTCTAAAGAATTTCCGGCCGTGTCAGAGATGTCAGTAAGTTTTTAGCAAAACAACTAAAAAATTTTTGATTGCAGTCTTCTCCTCCAGTAATCATTTATTGTCGAAAATAATTTCGAAGCGTTTACATACAACCAAAAAACATATTAAACTGTATAACGTTTTTACACTAATCCTAAAGCATTGAATAAATATTTTATATAAGTTTAGCATTTTAATCAATTAACAAACTACAAAATGAGGTATTGGCATATTGGCGAGTGGCGAGTTGTGTCGTTTATAATCTTTGGCACTTAGTAATTTTGTTGTTGGCACTTAAGTCAGTTATACGTAGATACATACGTAATAATACACCGTGCGAAAAAAAAAAAGTTTTAAACACACACAAAAAATCAATTTACTCATAAAACTGCGTTTACAGTTTTTCTCACAGATGTCAGATTTCTTTTTTAAAGGGACCAAGGCGAATTTATATAAGGTGGTGTTGTTTCATCAGTGAGTGAGTGAAAACGTGAGAGTTTTGTATTTTCTGTCGCCCTTTTTCCTTCGGGGAAGAATAGCTGAAATAGCTGAGGTTTGAACGACGAAATTGGAGGATGCGGTCATATATTATGAGCCTTAAACATGTAATTTTTTTAAAAATAAATAATCCAAATTTTCATGGATGGTTAAGGATAGATTTTTGAAGATTACATTTTTTGTTTCGTCCTAGTGAACCAAAAAAATAAATTTTTATCAATTCCTCAGAACTATTTTTTTTTTAATTTGATGCCCAAATTATTATTCGTTATTTATTGAATATTTCTGAAATCTTAAAGTCCTTTCAGCAAAAATCCACACACCAGGAGAAAAACCAAAAACGCAGTTTTCCTACATCTGACGCCTAGTTTTGCGAGTAAATTGATTTTTTGTGTGTAAAATCTACTGTCGCACGGTTTTACATATAGAATGTATAATTAAATGTGTAATATGATTTCTTTAGAAAATATCCTCATCATCGTCGTCATCATCTTCATTGGCTTCATGCACATGTTCGTCGGTTTCGCTGAGCACACCACAACTCGAAGCGAAAGTGTCTAAGCTGCGACCGGTGTGTCCAGTGCCCAGCGAACCATATGAATGGTAATAATTCAAACTCAAAGCAGAGTCGGCAGACAAATTGATGGCTTGTGTGGAGGAAGCTATAATGTCATATCCAGGAAACTTGGGCAGCTTAATGGCACGTTGGGTGCGCATTTTGGCGTCCGATGACTGACCCACACTATCCAGGGTCTGCTGGCTGCTGAGTGTGGCAAAACTGAAGGAGGGTGGCACTACAAAAAGACCAAAATGAAATAAATTTAATTGAAGTAAAATGAAATCGAAATTATCATACTTCATTGTACGGTTTTTTTCATTAGAGTTCTATATTATTTTTTATCTATAATTGATATGCATTCTTTTATATGTATTAAAAATCGCCAGCTACTTACAACAACTATCGTATGAAGGCGGCTCATCGTCGTCATTGTTATTTGATATATCCTGTGCTCGCGCTCCACGTGCCGCAACAGTCCTGCTAGCCGCCGGTTGGTTCACATCATCAGCGCCATCCTCATCATCGTCATCATCTTCGGTCTGATTGATTTCCACCTGTACACTCCACTGTTCGCCGGCTATATCGCCATCCTCCTCCTCTAGCGTTGACATTTCACGAGTGCTGATCCTACGCGGTTGTGTTGTGGTTACCAACTGTACACCACGCTGTTGCAGCGGCACCGTGCCAATCACTATCGGCACCGATAGATCTGTGTCATAGTGAAAGCAACCGGTTTTTAATTTTATTTGTAGCGTATAGTGGACGAATACAATATAATTGGGATTCAGTGTGGATCGTGGCGTATCGGAAGGCACACAAACCGTGCCTTGGTACATGCGCTTGGTTAGCCGAAGCGTGCGTTCGGTTATTATACTCTTCGCTAAAGTTTTTGTATAGAAATTTCGTTTATAGGGTTGTCGTGCGAGAAAAATGAAATGCTGTTTGAGTGAAGCCTCAACGCTGGCGATGTCATAGTGTGGTGACTGATTATCCACTTCGAGGAAGAAGGGTATCTGTTGGCGTGCCACGAAACCGTTATAAGGCAGTAGGAGGGTGTATAAAATGGGTCCCGAAGTGCAAGGCCAATTGCAAAGGTATTTCACATTTTCATCACGTATAGGGAGCTGGTAGTTGAAAAAAAAGGAGAACAGTTATAATTACTTGAATTATGGCAAATTTTTTGTCTTTTAAAAAATATTTAAAATTTTACACTCACTCCATATTCTGGATTATGATTCAAGTTCAATGCCTGCACCACGGTTACCGGTTTGCGAAAGATCTCATCGAATGTCCATGGTTTGGCGATGGTCAACGAGATATTGTAGGCAATGAAACCATATGGACCCTTGCATGAGGACGGACAACCGGACGGTATACGTAATCGGAGTACATAAACGTGTGTACCAGCACGAAATTCGGGACTGTCGTAGACATTTGTGCGTGTATACAAATATTGCTGATGGCCACAATAGTTGGCCGAATCGCTTTTTCCACTGAGTGACCACTGTACGCGCGCCTCACCTTCAAGTGTTACATAGACGGCTGGAAAAGAAGAAAAAGTTGATGAAAGAAAATCTGCGATAGCTTAAAGGTGAGACCCTCAATGGCTAGAAGCATCGCCTGTGTGTATTTTCATACATATATATGCTATTTTTCATACATATGTATATGAGACATTGTCTATGTGTCAAGAGAAATCGGTTTTATAAAGGTTTTGTAAGACTCTTCTCGTAGATTGTGCTCTCATAAGGGTTTTTTTAATACTCTTAATAAAGAACATGTATTCTAAAAGAGGTTTATGAGGCTCTGCGTGTAGACATATTTTTGCAGGACTAGTTTTTTCTGCTTTCCTTTCCATTTCGTGATTAGTGCAAATGCTGTAGAAATTTAAGATCTCTATAAGGTTTCTTCATTCAGAATCAGCAACAAGCAAATTTATAAACTTTTAAAAATTTTTATTCTTAATTCTTGGATTCCTCTTCACAAAGAGCATGATTACTCCTTATCAATACCATTCCAGACTTTATTAGATAACACAGGCCTGCGATGATATCTCCCTCAAAAAACGAATTAGAAATTTTTAGTAGGTTTTAGTACTAAGCTACGAAAAAAAATTTATAAAAAATTCCATCCCTAAATTTTGCCAGAAATTTCGTTTTTAGCATTAACTTCGAATTCTTTCTGATTTACCGAGATTTTTGTATAAATTTTCTCAATTCTAAAAGGATTTGACATTATCAAACTCTCCAGGTACAATTTTTTGGACTTTAATACACAAATTGGTTTTACAAGTGGCTTTGGATAGAAATCTGGCTGTAGCGCCACATTTTTTATGATTTTTAATGAGAAAAAACAAGTTCGAAAGGCAAAACATTAAAATTTTCGCTTTCTTATTAAAAGCCTTTTCATGGAAGAAACACACTTGGCGGATGCCTTTTCCTACCGAGAGGCGACCGCTGTTAGAAAAAAACCTTTTTTAATTTAGATGTTGCTCCGACCACCGATCGAACCAGGTCCGTCGAAGTGGTAGTACGCACCTTTAACCAATCAGCCACAGATTTTCATAAAATTAAGTTCGGAAAAAATACCGGAAAAAATTAGACAAAGTCCTGAAATTGTTGTTCAATTGACATTTCCATTTCCTAAAATATTTCAGTTTTGTATAACACTTCTCTGAAACACTTAGTCAGTGTTTTATAAAACATTTCAATATTTTATAACCTCATTTTGTAGACTAAGTACTATTCTTATAGTACAACATAGAGTTTACAACTAGCTATAGATCAGTGATTCTCAAAGTGGTCCAGGTGGACCTCCACGAGTCCACGGAAGACTCGACGGGGATCCACGGTGACGTGAAAAAATTGGGGGTCTATGAGTTGTAAATGGGGGTCCACGAAAATCTATCTGGTTTCGATGGTGAGAACCGAAATGGTTTCTTGATAGTCTCTTTATTTAACTTAAATTTTTTTAAGTGGTTTATAGTGCACTGCTGCACTTACCGTCACTTTGTGTTTTCATATGCGGGGAAGCCTTAAAGGCCACCTGCAGACTAAAAAGAACCGTATGCTGGTATGACAATGTTGCTGGTGAAAGAGAGTTAAGCACTTGTGTCTTTTCAATGGCACAGGATAGTATGCCACCATTGTACGCCAGCTTTGTTGACGATATTCTATAATGTTGAGTCCCCTGAGACTGAATGCTGGTTTGATACCATCGCTGAGACGGGACTCACACATTTCGGTCTTCCAGGCTCAGGAAATTGCAATACTCAAAGCCATAGACTACGTGGTGGAACATAGGTGGAGGGGAAGGAGTTTACGTGACTGAAGTGACAACCAAGCTGCACTTAAGGCATTGACCAGCCCTCTAAGTACTACCAAACTGTTTGGCAATGCAAGTCTCGACTAAAATATGATGGTGAACATAACGAGGTTGTTTTACTTTGAGTGCCAGGTCACCCTGATCGTTTGGCCAGAGTTGGCTCAGACCAGGCATTCCTCGGCCCGTAACCAGTTTTACCTGACTGGTCACTTTACGTGGCACAAACACCTGACTGTGATAGACGCAAATAACAAGTCCAATTGCCCATCTTGCCTTGAAGAGGATGAGACGGTGGAACACTTTTTGTACTTCTTGCTTGCTTGGCTATTTGTCATCGATTTTTTTTTAACTCGTTCTTTTATCTATTTTCCGTTTCTGAATTAAAAGTTTGGCGTAAAAAGCTTAGCCGTTTTGATGTTTTAAGTTTTGTGTTTTAAAAATGTGATACATATTTTTCGCCTCACTTTAAAACTCGGAGCGATAAAAACAAAAATGATGCTATTAACACAAATAAACTATTTTACATTAACTCCCCGTGCAAAGTCATGATTGAGCCGCTCGCAGTGCTCTTAAAAAATATAACTCTTCCGAGCGAGAGAGTATTTTGATGTATTTACGAGCTCTTCTTTTTGTAAATCTACAAGTATGTAATTACATTATTTTTATAAACAGAACACAATAAAATATTTTACTTTTATTTTAGCCACTCTGCGTTTAGTTTTTGAATTCACCCGCGATGCAAATTTACATTGTTTGATCTAACATTTAATTTTTTTACAAGCTTTGGGAATATTTAGAAATGTATATGCAGGGGGTCCACCGAAACCAGTAAATTTTTGAAAGAGGTCTACTAGAAAAAAAAGTTTGGGAACCTCTGCTATAGATCAACAGTTATCAACACTTTACACACTACAGTTTACAAACTCCGCCGGTTGGAGCCCTGTTGGTCTTATAAGAGTTTCAGAGACTATTTTATAGAGCAAAATGAATGAGTATTTGCTCTTTAGTTTTGCCCAAGTAAACCATTATAAAACTGTTTGTGTTATCCGGCTGCACAAACTAGTATTTTTTGACCGTCTTCTTTTTTTGAGGTGGGAAACTATCTATAGTCACACCATCGATCGTGTTCGCAATTTCTGGAAAGAGTATCGATACCATCGCGATAGTATCGTTATTGTCAGACTATCAATCGTTTAGCTATTTTCCGGAAAACTATCGATATTATCGCGTTATTATGGTTAACAAAAAAAAATAATAAGTAAAGTGGTAATGATAATTGGTTTTCAAAGATTTTAAAAGAATCTTATTCATCTGACTCTGTGAACACCAAGAACCAGTAGCTTAATTAAAAGGTTAGTTGACTCAATTAAGTTTCCATCTGAACTCAATATAATCGACAAACTTTATGTGCGTTTATGCATAGTTGTAGATAAAATCAAAATTTCTTGTTTATAAATGGAAGTTTTCGATCCCTCTTTGTTTACACGTTAAAACACAGGGTAGAAATATATATACAGTCACTCACAGAAGTATTCCTTATTACGGGGTTTTTATAACATTCAAAATGTTTTCCATTAAAAATCGTTTTCGTTAATGGGTGTATTCTCAAAGTCTTGCAACGCTTTCTCACGGTGCACAGAGAAATGCCTAAAATTGCACAAAATTTATTATTTTTACAAAACGAATTTTTTCAGGGAAATTACCTGTGCTTCGAATATTCCATAGAAAGGATAGTAACGGAATTAAAAATGTAAAGTAACTGTCGATAGTTTTTTAAAACCATCACCTTTGTATTAAAGTATAGTTTTGTGTAGGGTCCGACCGATTCCAATTTTTTTTTTTTCAGGTACCGATGACGATTAATCGGGTTATGGGATACCGATGCCGATTCCATAAAAAATTACAAATAAATGTATTAATTCATAAAATCAGTTAATTTAACGGAGCTAACAAAACAAAAGAAAACAGATAATTGAATTAATTGGTTTGTTATGTTATACATATGTATGTATGTATCTGTAAAAATATATTTACATACATATATCACATTTATGTACATTACATAAAACACTTTTTTATGTGGTGCTAAGCAAAAAATATTTAGGAACATAAAATTTCGTTTCGTTTTGTAAAAAATTACTCTCTTTTGCACTCAATGCATAAGAACTTATATGCTAGGTATGTATGTATGTACATTCATATAGTGGTCCACAAAATGAAAGAATTGCGATATTTTGTCCGGCTTTGGCATTTGGCATTTGTCTTTTGTTATTTACTTAATGTTTATTATTTTGTTTATAAAAGTCTAGATGGTATACAACAAACACCATATAAATTCAGATTTCAAACTTTGTACAAAAATTAGAAAAATTCAGCTTATTTTCACTAAAATTTCAAACTTTTTAATCTGAATTTTGGTATGCAGTTTTGTAGACCATTTAATTATAATAAAACGAAGTGCAAGTTTCAAGCTGCTATAAAATCCCGTTATTTTTTGGCATTTTTTTTTGCTGGCAGTGTCTTCCATATAAGAGAAAATTGTTGGACATGATACCAATGCCGATTAATCGGTCGAACTCTAGTTTTGTGTACTACTTCTGTACATTGAAAAATTTAGGTAGGAAAAAAGTTTCTTCCAAATCAATGGAACAGTTTCTGCAATTTTTTTTTTAAAAAAGTCTAATACCTGCGAAATTCGACCAACTATGTATTTTGATCCATGCTTTCACTTTTGTAGTTTTTTTTTCAGAAAACAAAACTTTTTCAAAGAGTTACGAGTAGTTTGGGGATATCAACGCAAAAATTAAAAAAAAACAAGTAATTTTTAGCAAAAAAAAACCGACTTCAACTCCCATATAAAAAAAAATATATATATATATATATATATCTCATGATCCACTGATCGGATCTCAACCAGATTAGTATGGGACCACCTCTGAGACACTACCTTTCCGATGCAAAAATCGGACGTTGGTTGACGTGGTCCAAAGTTAAAAAAAAAAAAAATATTCCGACGAACTGATAACCTCCTCCGTTTTTGGAAGTCGGTTAAAAAAGATATCGCAACGCCAAGAAAAATACCATCTATTTGTGAGCATTGGCGATTTTCGTATTCACTCTTAAATAGCTATTTAAGGCCGCTTAAGCAAAAGCCCATACATTCATAGTACACATTCGAGTACATATATCCCATAAAATAAACACTGAGTTAAACTCATTATGTAATGGATTACACTTGCACTGATTTTTTTAGTAAATGAAATTATTTTGTACACTTTTTGCAGTTTTACTGCATGACTTAAAAATATATGTACATCTAAGCCTTTTTTAATCTCAGTTGATTTAGTTTTTAATTAGAAAAATGCATTCAGTTAAAAAAAATATTAAATCACCCATTCCTTTTTTTCGATATTTCCCAAAATGCTACATTTTATTAGTCATGGTATGGTTTAATTTTAATATCACCAAAATTACCATTCACTCGCTTCATTTTCTCTGTTTTCAAAACGATGCGGCCATGTATGTATTCGGCACTATTGTAGACTGCATCCATGCGGTCCAGTTGAAAGGAGCACATTGTAGGCATTTTTATAAGATAAACAAAATCAAATATTTCAAACACTGCACTCGTTTCGTATACGTTTTCAAAGCAAGCAATATTTTCCAGCTTTTATTTTCACTTTCACCAACCGTTGGCAGCGCATTCAAAAATTTTCCACACAAAACTGGCGAAATCCAAAGCGTTTCGCTGGCGATGACAGCGACTACAACGACGACAAGGACGACGACAACACAACTTCCGTTTTGTTATCCTTGCTAACTGGCGACATGTGTGTTACACTACAACTTCCCAACTAAAACACTTTGAATGCTGCAGAGCATTGACTAGCCAAGCATTCACTGAATCATA